GAAGAAAAAGCATCAGATCGTGTCTCATAAGATCACAGGGTGGGGAAGAGGTTGTTTGTTTTTTCAAATCAACCAAGTCCTACAAGAACGTATGATCATTGTAAAAAATCCCCAATGGTCCAGAAATACAAGAGGGAAAACGGAAGTGCTGGTCTTGGCCCCTCCTCTGTTATGCTGCAGGAATCCTTGCCGGGTTTGGTGTGTCCTTCCAGATGGTCTTAGAGTTGGAATACATCCGTGCACATGGTACACATATGCTGATATGGGGGTGGGAGGACTTGTACCTAAAAAGGACCCTTCTTTTTGCATGGTTCCACAATTTGATTTTTTAAAATATTTCCTGGAGACGTTTCCATGACAATATATAGATCTACCTCATTCTTTTTTTAAGTTACTTCATAGAACTCCAGAGTGTAGATGAGCTGTAGTTTAGTCTCCTGTTGATGGATATTAGATTTCTTAATTTATTTGACTGTTCATGAAATGAAGTAGTGAATTTTCTTGTGTGTATCTCTGTGTGCACGTTACTCTGTCACTAGGACTGACAGGTTGTGGCATCTCTGAGTTGAAGCAAAGCACTTTTAAGTGTTGATACACACACCAAATGCTCCTCGTAACAGACTGGGCCAGCCCGTGCTCCTGTGTCCCCACACATTTATGGCACTGGCTGTGAACAGTCTTGTCATTTTGGCCAATTTGATGAAAAGAAAAAAAATTACATTCTTTTAATTTCCATTTCCTGGATAATAGATTGTACCTCTTTTTACACTCGTGTGCCTCTTTTTTTCTTATCACAATGTATATGTCCATGTATCAATTGGGTTATTTATTCTTTTTCTATGAACATGTAGGAGTTCTTAATGTATTCTCAGTAACAATAATAATCTCTTAAGTATCCTTTGCCAATCTCCAAATCCAACATTTAACTTTACTTTTTTACACAAAAATGTTTATGAATGAACACAACATGACTCCTTGGTTTGTGTCTTATATCCTCACCCCAAAGTTACGTGAATGTTTCCTTAATTTTCCTCAAATACCTTTATATTGTGTTTCCTACATTTGGTGCAGTAACTTCTCTATCAGGTGGTTTTGTGGATCTGATGCAGGCTGAAGTTCGAACTTGATTTTTTCAAAGTGTTTAATGAAGTGTCCCAACGGCACTTACTATTTTACTATTCTATTCCAGCAGGTCTCAAATGTTTTGGTGTCAAGACTCCTTTACACATTGAAAAATTATGAAGGACCCCCACAGAGCTTTTGTTTGTATATATTTTGAAGGTAGGTAGAGAGATAGATGGCAGATAAATGATAGATAGATAGATAGATAGATAGATAGATAGATAGATAGATAGATGATAGAGTTATTCATCATTTTGGAAATTACAACTCAAAAATTTTAAAACACAAGAATGCACAGGCCCACACTGTATTTGAATGACAACAAGGATGTCATCTCCCTGCCATTCTGGAATCCAGGGAATTCTGGACATGTAACATATGTGGTTCTGTGATCTCTCACCTTTTATGATCCTCCAAATACTGAAGCACCCTAACCATTCTGGCCTGCACAGCCTTCCTCCCTTACATAGCTTCCTGCTGTAAACAGAGCCCCTATTCCCTTAGGGCAGGAAGCCCCTGTTCCTCAGTGTGGGGCTGGGTGCATAGTAGGACACAGAGCCAGCACTTCTGGGATTCGGCAGGAACTCGAGAAAAGGGTCTCTGCAGAGCAGCACTCTTCAGAGCTTTTCGATTTCATAAACGTTTAGGGAGTCCCTCAGTGTGCAACCTCTTAGGCTAGGGCTGTGGGGAATTTGAAGCCATCCCTCTGGCCACAGTGGGGACAGACTGTCTTAGCAGGGATTGTGGGGGAGACAGAGGCACAGCGGTAGCTGCTATGATTTGAAACCCGTCCTCGATGGAGTAAACAAAGTCCTGGCTGCTTATGAACTTGGCTTCCAGTAGTTGGATTGTTTCCTCTCCTTTCTCTTTCTAAAAAAAAACAAAGAAAAGAAACAGTAAATGGGTTTCGATACCTTTAAAAGAAATTTCTATTTCTTGATCTTATTATGGCATAGATATTTTCAGCATATAGCTAGTGGGCCAGTGAGGAATGTGTGTCTGGATATTTGTGTCTGAGTCTGAGGGTGGATGTGAAAGGGAATGAACCATGTAAGCTGCTACAGGTTCACGAATCCTGGACAAGGAGCGCCCTACCTCCCCCCAGCAGAGGCTGGGGTCAGTCTAGGACCACCTGCCCCTTGGCAAGAATTAGGAAAGGGACCAGCCCAAGGCTCTTCTGTCATCCCAGGAGAGCAGACTTCCAGTGTTCAAGTCCTGGCTCTGCTATTTCTCAAGCAAATTACTTCATTGCTTTCTGCCTCAGTTTCCCTATCGGTTGAGGGGGAGTCACACTTCTCCCTGGGTCACTCTGAGGTTTAAGCAGAACAGTACCTGACACATCCCAGTGATGCCAGCCACTGTTATGAATGATGATGATGATGGTTCCATAAGACCTACTGTGGGGGAGTGACTGCTGGGTCCCAGGGTGAGGCTCGCACAAGCAGGCTGCATGTTGTGTCTCACCTCGTACGTTGGATTCATGTCATTTTGATACAGCTGCAAGCTGAGAGTGGGACTGCATTCTGCAATTTATAAAATGTTTCTAAAGCACATGAGATATTAACAGAAAAGCTGCCCAGGCCAGGTGGCTCACGCCTGTAATCCCAGCACTTTGGGAGGCCGAGGCAGGAGGATCACCTGAGGTCAGGAGTTCAAGACCAGCCTGGCCAACATGGTGAAACCCCGTCTCTACTAAAAATACAAAAATTAGCTGAGTGTGGTGGCGGGCACCTGTAATCCCAGCTATTCAGGAGGCTGAGGCAGGAGAATTACTTGAACCTGGGAGCCAGAGGTTGCAGTGAGCTGAGATTGCACCACTGTACTCCAGCCTGGGCAACAGAAATGAAACTCCATTTCAAAAAACAAAAAAATAGAAAAGCAGCATTTTTTGTTGTTGCTGTAAACCTTTAGAATTCTGTATCTGATGGCTGCGATGCCTCCTGATGAGAGAAAGAGCTGCAGCCACTTTCAGTCTGGGATCCTCACTGCTTGTACATGCCAGGTTTCATACGGTTCATACATCAGAATGTTATATGGATTTTGACGTTGCCATCATTCTACCTGGATCGTAAACTCTTGGTGACACATAAGTATTTCTGGGATTGCAGTTTGGCTCTTCGTGTATTATTCAGTAAATGAATCTGGTTCTGTTCGTGATGCTTTTCTCCCCTTGGCTATTGTTTGTTTCCGTTCCATGTGTCCCCTCCTCTTTCTGTCTCTTGTCTTTTCCTTCTGGCCGGTCCAAACCCATCACTAGTGTCACCTCCCTCACACAACCCAGCTTTCCTGACTTGGTCTTCCCACTGGCTGCCTCGATGGGTTCCCTGGACTCCACTCCACCTCTTCTTTCCAGCCAGTACTTGACCTGAATCCAATGGGAGTTGGCTTCCCAGTCTGTCCCCTCTTGGCAGGGGGAAAGTGGGTAGGGAGAGGGGCCTCTTTAGTCCTGTTCTGTGGGAAGGCATTTGAGAAAGAGACCGTGTTTGGGCCACCATCCATGTGTCCCCATGTGCACACAGAGCCCCCACCATAGCCATTTACCCAGTAGGAGTTGCCCAGGCTGGCGACAGCTGTGGGTAGGGATTTGCTTCCCTGCATCTGGTCCCTACAGCTCCCTGCTACTGTCTCCTCCTAGAGCAGACCCAGTGGTTTGTGCCATGTTGAAAGACAGCCAACAGGCAGAAGGCCATTCACTCCTCCTGTTGCATGCAGCCCTGGTGGTGGCACTGGTTAACCATGGCCCAGTGGATCACGGCACTGCACTGGTCATGTGCTCAGCCCTCTGGTCTAAAGATGAACTATCTCCAGCCTGGAGAAGATAATCACTGCTGGGTTCCAGCGTGATCTATACGGCATTCATCCTCAGATGCATTAGGAGAGCACGAGCGTTTATTTCTCCAGCCTGTAATGTATCCACAGGGGACGCAACATGTATGTGTGAACTCCCAGACCCAGCATGAATGGATTTTTCCCCCCGAGAAATATCTGTATCTTGTAAATAGAATTTTGTAAACACTTGTGGGACAGAAAAATTCTCTGACCTTTTCAAATTGCCACACTTTTGGGTGATGGATATCATTTGCTGAAGAGCACCAAGGGCTTTTTTCCTGTGTGTTGGATACCTCTTGGGGAACTCTTGACTTCCTCTCTCTATGTCCTGTGAGAACTCATGGTTTCCCGCTGGCTATGGTCAGGAGTTGTTGACTGAAGGGCTGGGAAAACTCCCCCAGGTAAAAATAACCCTCACCCTGACATCACTCTGAGAAATGCCGCCCCCGGTTCAGGCGCTGATCTTCTCCTTCTTCACCTTCTCTGTAAGCAGAGAAGAGGCCGTCCCCTAAGGGAGAGGGCTTTCTGGGCCCCAGAAGCCATTCTCAAGGCAGAAGCCTGTTGGCACTGCAGTCCTCAGTATTCAGAAGCCAACATTAAAGTCTGTGATTGATGTGTGAGTCAATACGTCATCCTTTCACCCAGAGCCTGAGCTGCAACCAACGCAAAGCGGGGTGCCTCCTGACTAGGCTGCCACAGCCATCGGCTCCAAAGTGAGGCACAGGAAAAGGTGAAGGTGCAGGAGGCGTCAGAGGAAAGAAGTGAGTGGGTGACACCCAGGGAGCCCTCCAGTCCTCACGGTGCCACAGAGGCTGCTCTGTGTTGGGGAAGGTGACACCCCTGCCCTGACGGAGGGCTCCCTCGGGTTACAGGGAATTCCTAGAAGAGCAGGAAGTAAGGCAAGGCCAGGCTAGAGAGAGGCCAGCAGCCTGGAGCCTGCGCCCGGGGGTGTTTCGGTCCTAAGCCTTCATCACTTCCGCCCCTGGGCGGTCTCTCACTTCCGCCCCTGCGAGGTCCCTCACTTCCGCTTCCTCCTTGACTCGGGTCACCGTCCTGGAGGCCGTGGTGTGTTTCTTCTCTGTCTGGTCCATCGTTGGCCTCTCAGGATTCCACACCTACTTGATCAGCTCCAACCAGACGACGAATGAGGACGTAAGTTCCTGACCACATGGGACACGGACGTGTTCTTGGGTGTTTAGCAATGGAGGATGAAAAGGAAAGGGGGGGCAACTTCTCCCATGCATCCCGTTCCGGATGTGAGCCCCTGGGAACAGAGGCGGCGCCGTGGAAACTTCTCCACAGGCCATTCTGCACGCTTCTCTACTGGGAATCTCTACATTCGCTTTTTTTTCCAACCACATTCATTAGTTACTAAGATTGGCCAAATGACACCTATTGCTGGCCCTGAAGAGAGTGTTCTTTCTATTCCTTTAAAATGGTTTCCTAAGCATCTTATCACACTTCCCCTGATAGACAGAGACCATGGCGGGCCGACATCAAGTGAATGTTTGAGTCTGCCTTTCATATTTAATGTCTCTGCTTACTTTTGAGGGGAAATTGCCCTGACCCAAAATTTAAGCTTTCATCCAGGATTATCTACCTGTACTTAATGCAGCTGGAGAGGAAGTATAAAAGCAGGAAACATAACGTTAGAGAATGTTTCTAGAGCAGCGTGGTCCTCTTTGCTCTTTGTACTTAGATTTTGACAGATGTCTCTGTCCACATGTGAATTAAATGTCTCAGGATAAGTCCGGTTACCTTAAATAAAAGCTTGAGAAAATAGGCTGTGATAAGACACATGACATAAGAGAATATTAAGACAGTTATTTATACTTGGTAGCTACAAATATTAGAATGTGCAAAACTATTTTGGTCACAAGAAGAGGCTGAATTATTTCAGTCTGTAAATTGGGAATCAGCAGAACCATTTCACCTACCATTCATTGAATTGTTATTTAGGGCACTAAATGTGAGTATGAAAAAAATCTCTGCTGGTGCATGTGAGATGGCCTTTTGTGCCATGTAGTACAAATACAAGACCATTGTCCCTGAGAATGTTATTCTTTCCCTAATCTCACTTGCTATTTTAGGACATTTCCAAGTTTGGAGTAAATGCCCATTTTCTTTAAGAAAAACACCTCCCTTTCTGTGGATTAAAGATGATTTGCATTCTTTATGGGCTTCTCATGGTCCAACTCACCTCGACTGTGCATTGGTATGAAGGATATTGCATGTTACTGACTTTCCTTTTCTTTCAGATTAAAGGATCCTGGTCAAATAAAAGAGGTAAAGAAAACTACAATCCCTACAGCTACGGAAACATCTTCACCAATTGCTGCGTTGCTCTGTGTGGGCCAATCTCACCAAGGTAAGACTCAGGATACATCAGGTTCTTTAACTGACCTTGGGAAAGCAAATGCCTCCGCTGTTAGCACAGGCCCCCCGACCTGGTGGAATGGGTTGCCACTACCAGGTGACCACTTTGTGCCATGTGGATGTGGCCTTCATGAAATTGAGATCTGACTCTGTTTGTGGTGTCACGCTTCATACCTTTTTTGACCTTCAACTGAATCTGTGTTTGATTTGGGGAAAACGTCCTGAAGCCCAAAATAGAGCAACATGCCTCTGACCCTGCTAATTACTGAACGTGCGAGCAGGGAGCTGTGGTTAACATCATCAAGGAGTCAGGACACGGGTAGGAAGGAAGCAGTCAGAAAGCCTGCGGGGATCAGTTTTGAAAGCCGATTTGCACAGCCTAGAAATGTTCACAGGGGGAGAGCTACATGGCCGCAGTTGCTGAGCCTGTGGTTATGGTAATGATGACAATGATGTTAACCATGGCAATAGGTGACCTTTACTGAATCCATGTTAAGCCCTACTCTGAGTTCTCGACTTGCATTAGCCTTTTACAAGCTCACTCTGTGCCTATAGGTGGATACTGTTATATCTCATTCTATGGATGAGGAAACTGAGGCACAGAGTTTAAATCATGTGCCCAAGATCACACAGCGAGTACATGCCAGCTAGTCACGACTCACACCCAGGCTGACCAGTGTCAGAGCTGCTGTGTGCCCACTGATGCACACAGCCTGCAAGTCAGAGTGTACAAGTTCAAAATACAGACAACTTTTGATTCTTTGTGAGTTACACCCAGGGAGAATATTTCCAACTGATAAACCATCATCAACAAATAGATATTGAGCAACTATACCTGTTCTCTAGGATGAGTTTCCAAGTTATTACTGCTTCCTGCCTTTTGGTCTCTAAATGTGTAAAGCAGGGAGAAATGACAGAAGCCACTGTGACTGTGTTCGAGGCAGACCCACTGTGTGCCCAGACCTTATGGATGTGCACCTGTGGAATGCACACTTCATCTGATTATCAGCCTCAATGAATCCTCATTAGAGCGGTAAAAAGAAAAAAAATTCCAGGCATATATTCCAAGGCCATTTGCACATTGGCACTGAGTTATTATTACTTTGAGTCATCCGTGGTGCTACTGCAAAACTAGAACTTGATCGCTTTCTAGCATTTGCCTAGAAAGTTGGGAGCCCAGCATGCCACTATCCTCCTGAATTTGGGGTCCTCAAGGGACCCTTGACCTCCTCAGAGGCTTAGAAAGGGCAGGCAAGGATCCTGAGTTGGAGGGGTTGCTTGGGCCACAGGGGTCAGACATGCCAGGTGCCAGCTCCTCTTGAAGAAACCTCCTGACTCACCTAGGGATTCTTCTGGGAGCTCTTTAGGCAGCAAGCCTGGTTTTTCACGGCATAGATGGTGCTTCCCACTGGCATGTTTGTGACTAGTAGGATAGTAGGACAGGCCAGGAACTGAGTGTACAAGCCAGGGAGAGCTGGCCTCTTTCCCCACCTGCGGTGTATGTATGGAGCTAAGAAAGGATGCCAAAGTCTCAGTTCTGCCCAAATCGCCCTTCTTGTTCCTGAGTCCTTCATCTGCAGATGGCACGGCTTTATGATGTTTATAGACCACAAACTCTCACAGCCAAAATTATTTCCACTACTGGGTTACATGTGCTGTTTTGGCTGGATTTGGGCTGTATTCATTCCAAAATCCATGTTCCTTTTGGGTGGGGCATTTCTTGAGAGTGGTCCTACCCTCAGAAGTGTTTGAATCATTTGTTAAAAGTAAATTGAAGGACATTAAAATATTGAGGAGCTTATCTGAACAGACAGCGGTTCATAAATCTGACAGCTCCAGAATTCAAGTGGTTTGAGGCTGCACTGAAGGTGCTCCAGAAGAGGCTTTTATTGGGTGAAGGTGGGAGGAAGGCAGATAAGGTATTTATTTTGTTAAAATGGGGCCATAGCTGTCCTTGGATTATTCTGGCACTTGGGCAGGGACATAGGCCACTCACAGGCTCCCATGCTAGCCCCTGGCAGACTTGAGGGGGTGATGCTTACCTTTGCCCCTCCCTCTCATTCCCTCTTGCCTTCTCCTCCCCTTGTGCTACCTCGCTTCAGCCACTGCACCCTTCAGTGGGCCAGGGCCTTCCCAGGCATCCTGGCCAGGCCCACTGGCTGAGAATGTCACCCGCTCAGTCCCTTGTACTTGAGTTGCCCCCCATGGGTTCTTAAACAGTGCCATGCCATGCAAATGAGCCACAGAGAGTCCTTGCGTTCCCCACTGGGAGCCTACCCACCAAGAGTGCAGAGACCCACGTTCGGTTCCTGCAGTGTCACCAGAGGCAGGAGTGGCAGCTGGCTGGGCATGGCCAGGTTTGGGGGAAGGGGTCCTCATATAAGCCTGGCAGGAGGAATGGAAAATTGGAAAGACAGAAAGGCCCAAGGAATGGTTAGTGTCACACCATACTCGAGCCAGTTCCGAGGGTCATACAGCCACCATTGACTGCACATGTGCCGTGGAGCCAGCTTCATGCCAGTCACTGGCATGTTCCCCTTGAGCTCTGCCCCACCCCAGCTAGCCCTGTCCCCCTGCCAGCTTCTTGGCCAACAGTGAGGAGGGGATTTGGGACAGGGGGTCAGTGCTGTTGGTCCCCTGCTAATGCTCTCTCACCTGGTGAGGTTTGCGAGCACCTGACTGAGAGTTTCCTCTGAGAACCTCCCATCACAGTTCTCCTGATGTAGGCAGAGCCATTCCTCCTGATAGTCACTCATACCTGTCACTGTGGCCCCAGCCTGTGGCCATGAGCCCTGGACAGGCCTCTCTATGGGGCTCCCCATGGGGCTCTCTTGGGCTGTTTCCTAGAGCACTGCAGCCCAACAAGCGCCATGAAATGGGAGGGTTGTTTGTTCTGCTACAGTTGGAGGCCCGGAGGCTGAAGTCAGGGTGCCGGCAGGGTTGCCCTGGCCCTGAGGCTGGGGAGAACCCTTCTTTGCCTCTTCCCTGCACCTGGTGGGGCCATCAACCCTCCGCATTCCTTGGCTGGCAGATGCTTCACCATGGGGTGGCCTCTGTTGGCCGTGGCGCACTCCCCATGTGCATTCTCTTCCCACCTCTGTCTCTTCTCATAAGGACACCAGCCACACTGGACAAAGGCCCAGCCCAGTCGAGTGTGACCTCACCTTAACTTGGTTCCATCTGCAAAGAGCCTACTTCAAGGTCACACTCTCAGGTACCAGGTTACGACTTCATATCTTTCTGCACAGTTCAACCGTGACATTCCCTCAAGATCTCATTTTTTTTTTTTTTCTTTTTGAGACAGTCTTGCTCTGTTGCCCAGACTGGACTGCAGTGGCATGATCTCTGCTCACTGCGACCTCCACCTCCCAGATTCAAGTGATTCTCCTGCCTCAGCCTCCCAAGTAGCTGGGATTACAGGCATGTACCACCATGCCCTGGTAATTTTTTTATATTTTTAAGAGAGTTGGGGTTTCACCATGTTGGCCAGGCTGGTTTTGAACTCCTGACCTCCAGTATCTGCCCACCTTGGCCTCCCAAAGTGCTAGGATTACAGGTGTGAGGCAGCACATCCGGCCCCTCAAGACATCTAGACACAGGCTCTACGTGGGACCCACACCTGGACCTTCACCTGACCCCCAGGTCGCAGCCACATCCCCGGCTCTCACCCGCACTGGGGGCAGAGCACCTTTCTCCAGGACAGCTTGTCTGCTCTTTTCCCTCTGACCCTCTGTACCCTCGAAGGGAGTATTGTGAAGCTGGTTTGAGAACCTTGCTTTGACATCCTGCAGAGGAGGCCCAGCACTTTCCTTGGAAAGAGGGAGATTTTTGCTGCCTGTTGTTTTTTCTAAACTTCTGGAGGTTCAGCTGAAACTGAGGCAGAGGGAGTCCCATTTGGGGATCCGGTCACAAGTGGTTTTTCTGGCTTATTGTTCTGCCACTTAAAGGCCCGAAGGCAGTAGTCACACGAAGTTGACTCCTGTCTTCCAGAAGCTGAACTGGCACACAGGAGGCCCTGCTTTCTAAGAAAAGCAGCCCAGGCAGTCAGTCCTCAGAGGCGGGGATAGGTGTGGCTTTGCAGATAGATTTCTTTATTTTGCAAAACACCGAGCACCTGGGGAAGATTCTGCACTGCAAGTGTGGCTGGTCCCACAATGTGGGGGCTGCTCCAGGGACACCCACTCAGGAGCTGAACCTCCTGTTGCTCTTTACACCTCTGCCCTTAGACTGAAGGTCAATGCTGAGCCTTGACTGGGGAGAAAAAAAGGCAACTTTACCCCACCTTCGAATGAGCACAGTGCCGTACAGTACAGAACCAGATGTCTTTAGAAGCATTACTCAGAAACTTGTCTGTGGGCCGAGGGACCCAGTCTTCATTCCATCAAGAAGAATTTGCACAGCACCCACTGGGTGACAGTCTCAGAGATGCAAACATTGGGACAGCCTGCCGGTCCTTGCCCTCCACGCCCTGACAGTTGTGGATGAGGGGCTCTAATCCGCATCTCTGTGTGCGAGGCACAGGGCCAGGTGCCGTCGGGGGCAACAAGATGAAGACTCTGCCCTTGGGAGCTTGATTGCAGGCGGAAAGCGAAGTGCGAGAGAATCAGAGAAGGGGAGAGAAGGAGAGAGAGGGGAAGGGGCGAGGGCCAAGAGCAGGGGCTTTTGAACCTGGTCTTGAAGAATGGACAGCAGAGGGGAAGGAAAAATGACTTTGGGAGAGAGCGGGGAAGAATCGGAACAAAAACCCGGAGATAGCAGAACAGAGTGCACGCTGGGCGGGGTGGGGCTGTAGTCCTGTTCCCACATGGTAGGTGGCCGTTTCCCACACACTGTTCTGGCACTAGCCGGTACCCAAAACACGTTTGCTGGGTGAATGTAGTAAGAAGACATGCAGTTGAGGCTGGAGGGGAGCGCTCGGGGTGGATTGTGACAGATGAGAGTGAGACCAGTTTGGAGGGGCCTGCAGTTAGTGGACAAGAGGGAGATACTGGGGTCTGAGTGGACCACACACCCTCAGCCCAGCCAGGAGGCAGGCCATGCCACAGTCATGTTTAAAGGTAGAAGGGACAGAATTTGGTCGCTGATTCTACCTGAAAGTGAGGAGAGGCGTGGTCTAAGGTGCCATCACGGCAAGAGGGAGTCGCAACACGGAACCGTAAATAGTGTGGCTGCATCTTTGGCTTTTGATTTACCCTCTTCCTCCTGTGTTTTCTTCTCTCTCACAGCCTGATTGACAGAAGAGGGTATATCCAGCCCGACACGCCGCAGCCAGCAGCTCCCTCCAATGGCATCACCATGTATGGGGCCACGCAGTCACAGAGTGACATGGTAGGAGAGGGGGCCGCGGCTCCCCGCCAGGGCCTCCCTTTCGCTGCGTGCTCACGGACAGGTCACCAAGCAGTCGTCCTAGCAAACCTCCCCAGAAGCCGGGCCAGCCCACTGCCACCCACCCAATGACTACCGCGCTCAGACAGTAGGCAAGGCGTTAAACTAAGACAGTAGGCAAGGAAGCGTGTGGCCACTGAGTTCAGCGTGCTTGCTCACGGTTGTGCAGGGGAAGTCCACACACGTGATCCCTCTGCCAAAACAGCTGAGGCACGTGGCTGGAAGCCCCTTATACAGGAGCAGGCTGTGGTTTGAGGGATCAGGCGCACGTCCCAGGCAGGGCTGGGCTGGTGATCTTTTCCCTTTCCGTCCCTTGGTACCCATCTGTACTGACCCCTCTTCCGCTTCTTTAAGTGTGCAAAGGATGGCGCTGCCAGTTCTCCCTGCTTCAACCCAAAGTCTGGGATCCACCCTGCGTACCCTAGATCGGACCAGGTGTTCATTCACTCGCAGCAAAACTGAGCAGTGCCTCTCCAGGGAGCGTGCAGGTCTCATGCTTTCTTCAACGGGTGGATACAGTTTGCTTCCCATATGCAGGTTTCCAGCATGCAGGTGGGACATCTGGGGAAGGAGGCAGGAGTCGCTCATGGACACCAGAAATCCCAGCCTGGCCTGGACCTGACCATGGTGTCTTAAGATCCCCTAGGTGTCTGGAAGGCAATGGCCTCTCTTTAGTTCCATGTTCCTGCAGAGGTCTTTGTCTGTGATCCTGTGCTGTGTGCTCTTTCTATGTTGAATCCACACTGCGGAGCATCCATGACAGGTCGGAGACCTGACTTTCAGGTGGACAGGACGTGGCGAGCAGCCCACAGCACCTTGGTTCTGGGTGCAAAGAACTGCAAGGTGGAAGTTGGCAGGCTCAGGACCGTCTCTAATAGCTCAGGGCCAAGGGAGGCTGTTTAATTCCACATTGACCTGAGTGGCTGTGTTCACAGCTGCGGGAACTAGGCTCAGCCCCCAGCAGAGGTGGCTGGGATTTACGTGTTGGCGGTGGTGGTGTCTTCTTTGTGTTGTTTTGCCCTGCTTTGCGAACAAAGTATTTTCTCTTTTTTTTTGAGAGACAGAGTCATGCTCTGTCACCTAGGCTGGAGTGCAGTGGCACAATCTCGGCTCACTGCAACCTCTGCCTTCCAGGTTCAAGTGACTCCCCAGCCTCAGCCTCCTGAGTAGCTGGGACTACAAGTGTGCACCACCATGCCCAGCTAATTTTTGTATTTTTAGTAGAGACAGGGTTCTCCATGTTGACCAGGTTGGTCTCGAACTCCGGACCTCAGGTGATCCACCTGCCTCAGCCTCCCGGAGTGCTGGGATGACAGGCGTGAGCCAGTGCCTGGTGCGTTTTCTTTCAAAGCAAGTATGTGACTTCAAGGCCCTTGCCACTCACTCTGTAAGGGATCGGGGAAACAGCTTGTTTGGTCAGAACTCACACACTCAGGGAGATGTTAAGGGTCACTCCCCCAATGTTTTTCAGAAGAGTAAACTGAGAACAGAGGGAGGAAAAGAGGGGGTCACATTCACGGGGACCAGCTGTGTTCCAGGGCACGTGGTGGTCAGCACCTCATTTAACCCTAAAGCAACAGTGGAAAAAGGGGACACTTGTCCCCACCATTTTAAGTAGGAGAGATTAATCCTCTGTCTACCCAAGGGCACACAGACACTGATTTGTGGGTTCAAAACTAGCCTGGTGACTCCAGTGCCCATGTTCACTTCGTATACCGCATGCCCTCAAGTGCACAGGCATTAAAGACCAGTAGATCTGTGCTCTGAGACCTTCTTGACGATTCGCAGGTGCACAAGGAGTGCCCTTTGAGGACAGAGCTCACCAGGATTCTGGCCACATACGTTGATCATGTCTCTCTGATGTGTGTGTGTGTCTACACACAATCACCTCTCATTCAATCAGCAACTCCACCTGGGTTCCCTCTGTGTATTGAGGACTAGAGTAGGAGCTGCAGATACAAGGTGTGTGGAGTACAGCTCACCTGCCTTCAAAGGGGTCAGCACTCAGGGCACCACGTGAGCAGATACATGAAGGAAGCATTAAGAACCTTCTGCAGAATTCACCACTAATGGCAACCGTCCTTATCAAAACCATGGACTTACGTTCATCCTACCCTGTGACCCCCACAGTACTGGGCTCGCCAAGTGCTGCACGGTGCTCATCTCACCAAGCTCTACACTTTCTTGAGATTAAGAAAATTAACAAAGGCTGTTTAAAGGTGCTTTCACCAGGAAGCCACTTCAGGTCAAGACCAGATGGGATACAATTCAGCAAACAGTTATTGAGCACCTACCCTGGGCCTCAGAGAAGGTAGGTTTGATGATGGAAGTGGGGAGGTCATTTTACTCCAGATGGCAAATCAGCTTCCTCTCCAGAGTCCGTTCATTCTACACCTGCACCAAGACTGCGGTCAGGCGCACACATTTGTGATGTGGCAGAAATGGTAGGGCACATTTGCCGATTCCTGTAAGAGTCACCTTCCAGCTAACTAGTACCCCTGAAGCACTGGGCTGTGACGTTTAAGGGTTGTTGGAAGAGGACCCTGCACAGGTTAAGAAAGAGGACACTGTCACAGTGCAGCCGTTGCCTGTTTATCACCCCTGATCACTCAATTCAGTGTAAGGCTACTTACTTTATTTATTTATTTTTTGAAAGAGTGTCTCACTCTGTCACCCAGGCTGGAGTGCAGTGGCGTGATCTCCACTCACTGTGACCTCCACCTCCTGGGTTCAAGTGATTCTCCTGTCTCAGCTTCCCAAATAGCTAGTATTACAGGTGTGTGCTACCACGCCCAGCTAGTTTTTGTATTTTTTAGCAGTGACAGGGTTTCACCATGTTGGCCAGGCAGGTCTCAAGGTCCTGGCCTCAAGTGATCCACCAGCCTCTGCCTCCCAAAGTGCTGTGATTACAGGCATGAGCCACCGTGCCCAGCCGGTAAGTCTACTTTTTAAGGCATCTGTTCATCTGGGGGCTTGAGTACCATGTCCAGAAGCTTGAAGATGACAAAAATTACCAAGGCTCCTTGCCCTGCTGTTCTCCACTGCGACTGAAGATGGGACAGTCTCAACACCCTGGAAAGAGCTACATGCAACATCACCAGGCCACTGAGCACCAGGCAGATCAGGAAGAGCTCTGGACCCAGAAGCAGAGCCTCTTCAGAGCCGGCCTTGGGCTGGTGGCATACAGAATCATGGCAGGATTGAGGACCTGCAGCCCTGGTCACCTGCCCAGGCTGACAGTGCACTCTCTGCCATGCACACCTGAGGGTAGGTGGCTCCGCATCCCCTGCCACCCATACACACAAAAGGCAGAGGGCATCATTCTTTTTTTTTTTTGTGAGACAGAGTCTTACTTTGTCACCTAGGATGAAGTGCAGTCTTGCGATCTCAGCTTACTGCAACCTCCGCCTCCTGGTCTCAAGGTGAACCTCCCACCTCAGCCTCCTGAATAGCTGGGACCACAGGCATGCGTCACCATACCTGGCTAATTTTTGCAATTTTTATAGAGACAGTTTTGCCACGTTGCCCAGGCTGATCTCAAACTCCTGACCTCAAGCAATGCACCTGCCTCAGCCTACCAAAGTGTTGGGATTACAGGTATGAGCCACCACACCCAGCCATTCATTTCTTTACTCAGGCATGCACAGATTTTTCCAGAGAGCTTCTAGGGGAAGGCTTGAAAGCACTGTTGGGTGTAAAGAAATTAACAAGGCTCGCATGCCCCTGGGAGCTGTACGGTACAAAAACACTTCAGCATCACAGCCCTGACGAATCCATGCCTGTATGTCTAGGGTCAGACACATGATATGTGCATGAAATTTCAGGATCAAGATCCCCCCTTAAAGCCCATGGACCCCATGGTAAAGAAACCCTCCATCAGTGAGTACCATGGTCTGCCTTCCTCCCTAACAGAGACAAAACTGTAAAAAACCTAAACATCCTGGGAATCATGCGCATGTGAGCGCTACTCTGGATTTGGTAATAGCACAGAATTGTGTGTGTGTGTGTGTGTGTGTGTGCGTGTGTGTGCGCGCACACACGCGCGCGCACGTATGCATGTGCACATGCTATTAGCTGGGTGCAGTGGCTCACACCTATAATCCCATCACTTTGGGAGACAGAGGTGGGTGGATCACGAGATCAGGAGTTCACGACAAGCAAAAAAAAAAGTTAGCCTTACATTGAATTGAGTGATAAAGGGCCTCCGGAGTAGCTGTGATTATAGGCACCTGCCACCACACCCAGCTAATTTTTTTATTTTTAGTAGAGACAGGGTTCCACCCTGTTGGCCAGGCTGGTCTCACACTCCTGATCTCATGATCCACCCATCTCGGCTTCCCAAAGTGCTGGGATTACAGGCATGAGCCACTGCACCTGGTCAATAGCACAGAACTGTATAGTCTAAGTCCCTGAAGCAGGATGTTCCAGTCCGTGATAAAAGCTGTACAGAGACATCTCTTCCACATGGCAAATGCTTTTGAGTCAGCCAACAGGCTTTAGGATGCCTTTTTATCCCCATCCTGAAGAGGAAAATTGGAGATGGGGATTTACTGTGCAGAGACCAGAGTGCTGCCACTTACTAGCTGCATAACCTCGATGAGTTAATTAACCTCTCTCTGCCTCAGTGTTTTCATCTATAAAATGGGAACATTGATATTCTTACCTTGTAGGGTTTCTGTGAGGATTAGGTTAAGACATATAAAGCACTTAAAACCTTCCCTAGCACAAAAGAAGTACGATTTAAGTGTCTGCTGTTATTATTATTGTCTCCCTGAGATCCATGAGTGGCAAGATGAGCGAGCTCCACTGTACCCTCTCAGAGCAACTGACAAACAAAAGAGATGGCTGGTGTGAGGGAAAGAGCCCAGGATGGGAACCAGGGAATGAGCGCTCCCATTCTGGCTGTTGCCAGTTAGTTCCCTGACCATTAGCAGGCCACTCTT